CTCTCCCGCACCCTCCCCCCCTTCCCCTGCAAGAGCTCCATGAGTGTCCAGGAGTACTGGTCCGCACGTGCTTACCTTCCACCACCACTCACACGATTATAGGGGGCAACAAGCCGGACGATAGCGAACGACACCTGGCAAAATCGAGATTGCCCCACACACACACACACACACACACACACACACACACACACACACACACACGCGCACACACACACACGCACACACGCACACACGCACACACGCACACACGCACACACGCACACACGCACACACGCACACACGCACACACGCACACACGCACAACACGCACACACGCACAAACGCACAACACGCACACACGCACAACACGCACACACGCACAAACGCACAACACGCACAACGCGCACAAAACGCACAACACGCACAACACGCACACACGCTCACACGCACACACGCACACACACACACACGCACACACACGCACACACACGCACACACACGCACACACACGCACACAGGCACACGCGCACACGCGCACACGCACAAACGCTCACGCACACGCACACGCACATCCACAAACACACACACACACACCACACACACACACCACACACACACACACACACACCACACACACAACACACACACAACACACAACAAACATACACACACAACACACGCGCGCCACACACAACACACGCACACAACACACACGCACAAAACAAACACACACACAACACACACACAACACACATTACAAACACAACACACACAACACACAAACACAACACACACACACACACACACAACACACACACACACAACACACAACACACACACACACAACGCAACACACACACACACACACAACACACACACACACAACGCAACACACACACACACACCTAGACCAACAATAGTTGCATGAGCAGAAACTCTGGGGGGGCAGTTGGCACGGACCCCCGAAAGCTTTGCTCTTTCACGGACATCCCGACGTCTTGCGTTTTTTCAACACGGGGCCCCCAGGAATCCCGACCTTCTCCCCAGGGCCGGTCGTCCCGCGTCGTTTTCTGACGGTCCTGAGGCCCGGCGAGGGCCCCCAGCGGCCGAAGACGGTTTTTTAAGATGATCGCACTGAGGTCCTCGCCCAGAGATCCGACGTCGTGAGTTTGTCAACACGGGGTCCTGGCAGTCTCGACCCGTTCCACGGGGCCCGTTTGTCATCCCGAGTCGTGCTCTCATAGTCCCAGGGCCCTGCGAGGGCTTCGAGAGGCCGAAGACGGCGAAAGACGTCCGTCCCGATGTCGTTCAAGTCGTTGGATCTCGGGGCCGAGGCGCCCGAGGCTGGGGCCCGGAGACCCCTACAGGAGCACGGCGTCAGCGAGGCGGTCGAGAGCGCCGCCGCGCAGGTCCGCGACCGCGCGCTGGCCGTGGACCGCAGAGGAGGGAAAGGCACCGATGCCGTTACCCTCGCCTCGTTTTCGCCGTTGGGGTTACGTCGGGCCTGTCCCTCTACAGGAGGAATCTTCAAAAATGGTCCAAAGATAGTCTGGGGAGTATTGTTTGATTCACGCCCGACCTGACTTTGGGGGGCCTCTTGGGGGCCTGCGTCGCCGCAGCTGGCATCGCCTCGAAACTCTGGTCAGAACGCACCCTAAGGGCAGGTCCAGGGAGTAGCGGTCTCGGTGCCTCTCTGCCCCCCCCCCCCAGGACCAGCAGTACGGCGTCCGCCGGCGCGCCTTCGACTGCGCGGCCAGCTGCCTGGAGCGGACGCAGGCGGCCACCGCCGCGGCGCAGGCGCTCGCGGCGGACGGCGGCGGCGCGGCGGGGCGCTCGCCCGCCTTCATCGGGGAAGAAAAAGCGCGGCACACACCCAGGAGAAGTCCCAAGAAGAGGCAGCAAGTCTCACGGCGGCCAGATTTCGCTGAAGCTCCGGTGGCTGCGCTCGCAGGCGCTTGCCGCACCCACGTCGGCACACCCTTCACACGCTTCGTGGCCCCATGGGGGGCTCCACCGACGCCCCCAGGGGCTGCGCCCGCAGGCGCCCGCCGCACCCATGTCGGCACACTCCTCACACGCTTCGTGGCCCAGTAGGGGGCTCCACCGAAGGCCCCAGTGGCTGCGTTCGCATGCGCCCGCCGCACCCATGTCGGCACACCCTTTGCACGCTTCGTGGCCCCATAGAGAGCTCCACCGATGACAATACTCATAAACGCGTTACTTACAACTGCATATGGTTGGGCCCTTCGCCAGGTTAATCCTTTAACTTCGAAGTGTCGTTTCACTGGACCTGGACTAATGTTTAACAAAAACTTGGAGTGGTGTCGGCATTATTGACGTCGATGTTTCTCAATTATGAGCAGGGGTGTAGGCATAAACTTCCGGAGCTCCACGAGGGTTTCTTGGGCCAACGCTGGCCCCCCAAGACCCCCTCGCGTCATGAAAAAATCATGGCGGGCGGTTTTGTGCTATGTTCGGCCCCTGGGGGCCCTCACCAGGCCACGGGAACTTCAAAAATTGTCATCATGACGTCGAGGGTCTGGGCTTGGCGGCGCCCCAGCGGTCTCGACCCATTCCCCTGGACCAGTTTTTCATCCCGAGTCGTTTTTTGACGGTCCCGAGGCCCAGTAATGGCCCCCAGAGGCCGAAAATGACGAAAAATGTCCCGTCATGATTTTTTCGTCACCCGAAGGGGTCTAGAATCCACGAAATCCGCGCGGGGCTCCGAAGGTTCATGTGTGTGCTGCTTTTTGTTCCTCTGCTTCAGTCGCGCTGAGGGGCGCGAGCCCGCCTTCAAAGGCGCCGAGGGGCGCGCCGGCCCCGCTGCCGCCAACGAGAGGCCAGACGCCCGTACGCACGAAGGCTCGGCCACGAGGGATAAGTCTAAGCCGGAGTAATCGGGGGAACACAAATGGGGGGACGGGAGTAGGCGCAATAGTTCATGCAATAGTTGGTGCCTGGATACAATAGTTCGCGGCGTGGGTGCAATAGTTCCGCGTGGGTGTTGTTTTGTCTTGTTTCGCGCGCAATAGTTCAGGCGGTTTGCAATAGTTCGTGTCCTCCAGCAAGTTGGTGCAATAGCTCGCGCGCAATAGTTCAGGCAAACCAACTATTGCACCTACTGCCGCCCCCCCTTTTGTGTTCCCCCCATTACTCCAGCGTAAAATAAGGTCGGCCACGCGCAGAGGGGGGCAGGGGGAGGCTGAAAGGCTTCTTAGAAGCACCCCTGCTTCTGAGAAGCCTTGCCCCCTCCCCCTCCCCCCTTGTGCGCGCCGCCAATACGGGTCGGGCACTGAGAGAAATCGAGGGAAGAAACACCCCAGGGGTCGACCTAAACGAGGTTCTGGTGATTTCCTAGGCCGTTTTCGTTTGGATGTCGTTCTGCAGCAAAGAAGGATCGGAGACACAACGAGGGAAAACGAAAACAGAGCGAAAACTGAAATTGTTGTTTAGGTCGATCCCTGAAACACCTTAAGATCCTGGCGTCTCAGTTTCGCTCGAGCGGGGTGTCTTCGCCCGTCTTCGGGACCCGGGACCCTCACAGATCGATGCGGCTCGAAAAGTGGGGGCAGGATGATGGGGTCTCGTCTATTCGTAAGAGTGACCTTCCGCCGGAGTAACTTTTGGCGCGGGCCCATTCTGGTCCCCCGATCGCCGAGCATGCGATGCGATAGTTGCGTCGTGCGCGATTGGGTGTGTTCCCAGCGCGGCTCCCCGAAAGCCGAGTACCAAAAGTCACTCTTACCCAGGGTCACTCTTGCGTGTAGCCGAGATGGGGTCTAGGGCTCTGGTCGTGATGCTTGTCCGAGGTTGCATTTGTTTCGAGGCGTCGGATCTCAGGGTACGGGGGCCATGACCGAGATGTCGCGGGATATTGTCGATACCGATGCTGGCCATGGTCCATGTCGGCCGTCGCCGATCCGCAAGGATGATCCAAGACTTGACGCTGACGGAGGTCGACGGTTACCAAGATCGACTGTACGTTCCCGCGTCCAGTCTTGGTCATGGTCCCCTCTTCCCCCCCCCTCCAAGAACGCCCCCCCAGACAAGTTCACTGAGGAAATCTGCACCCCTTGACTCGGCATGGGCATTCGACTGCGCAGGTGCAGTCCCCAGTCGGTTTCGCTAATCGACGTGCGCTTCGCCGGATACAGTCGGCTGTTTGGACGTCGATTAGCTACCCCGCTGGGGTCTACGAATGCGGTTCCGTGCGCACGCGGAGTGCCCCTGGCAGCTTTCACTAAAGGGCGTTTTTGCAAAAGGGTATCCTGCCAATCTTCGAAGGGAGTAAGACGAAGCCAGAACGGACCAGGACAAGTCGGGGATCTCTGAGATCTGGCGATTCTGGAGTATGTATCGGACGCCGCGGCCGTTCCAGAGCGCTCCCGAACGCTCCAAGAGCTTCTGGAACACTCGAATGATTTATCCCAGTCTCCTAGCCCCGCCCATGGGCAGGTCCCGACGCCAGAGCAGATAGCCCCCTCGCCCTGCTTCGCGAAAGCTGTGTAAGCTTTCACTCGCGAGCGGCATTGAGCGCGGGCAAGTTATCTGAGGATCGGGGCATTTCAGTTTGAGCGCACATGTTGTAGCGACGGGTATTGTCGGGGGTTGCTGAAGGTGCCCTTGGCCCAAGGTGCCCTCAGATTTTCCGCTCAACCTTGGAGCCCCTGTGGCCCTCTGGGCCTCGTGAGGGGTGCTCTGAAGGCCGTGTGGGGCTCCTTGGAATTCCTTGGGACACTGTGGGCCAGGGGCACTTCTGGCAACACCCGATTCGGGAACGCTCTCGCAGCGTTCCGGAACGCTCTGAGAAGGCCGCGGCGCCCGAGACATCTTCCAAAGCCGCCGGGTCTCAGAGATTCTCGATGCTATCCTCACCCGAATTTGTCCTCGTATTGGCTTCGTCTTAGGTATTGGGGCCTCCCTGCGAGCCCCCCGCCCTCCGGCGACCCGCGAGAACGAATCGAGGCGGCCGGTCGGTGGCCAGGCTCGGCCTCGGGAGGCCGGCTTCGGGCTGTGTGGGTCGTCCAAAGACGGCCGGGGGTGAGAAGCCGGCCCTGGGTCGGGGCTCAGGAGACGGGGGTCAATACAAACGTTTGGACGCCCGAAATGGGTACGGAAAGAGCGGGCACAATGCCCAAATCAATGTGCGGGTGAATGGGCACGGAAAGAAATGGGTACGGAAAGAATGGGTACGGAAAGAATGGGGTACGGAAAGAATGGGTGAAATGGGTACGGAAAAAATGGGTACAACAAATGTTGTCCCAAACCAACAGCGGCCGCTGTTGGGCAGGCGGCCTTCTGTCTCGAATGGACACAGGCCGCGGCGGCGTGGACAGCGAGTCCTGTTCAAAATGAACAGGAACTGCTGTTGGGCATTGTGCCCATTCTTTCCGTACAACGGGGGTCAGCCAGGGCACCGGATCTTGCAGGATCCTGCGAAATCCCCTTTTGGCTGACCCGGGTTAGCGAGCCGCTCGTGGCCGCGAGGCGGCCGCGCAGATTGGCTGACCTGGGTTTGCGAAGACCTGCGTTGCAGTTGTTACCCGATTGGGAAAGACGGGTCCCCAGACATGGCGGCGCCAGCAGGCCCCCAAGAGGCCCCGAAGGGGGCCCCAAGAGGCCCCCTGGATCCTCCAAGAATCCGAAAAAGCCCCCACGAGGTATCCCAAGAGGCTCTATTCACCCAAGAGGACTCCGATCCCCCAACCCAGGCACGGCGGCGGGATGGGCCGAGGGCCACTAGATATCTCGGCGGCGCGCACAAGGGAGTAGGGGGAGGGGGGAGGGCTTCTCAGGAGCACCCCTGCTTCTTTGAAGGCGCGGGCCTCACATCTATAGATGCAGGGCAGGGCGCCTTCTAAGAAGCAGCCTCCTTCTGAGAAGTCTTCCCCCTTCCTCCTGCCCCTCTGTGTGCGCCGCCAGCCTGTGGAAGAGAGGCGCCCGGACATGCTCGCGCCGTGAACAAAGCCGGGGCGTCGCATGTTTGGGTCGTGAGGTCCCGGGGGGCCGCGCTTTTCATAAAGCGGAGCGCCAGATGTCTGTCAGGCGATCGCAAACACGGATCAAGGGGTCGTGGATTAGCGACGGGTCCCGCTTCCAAACAAAAATCGCGGATTTCCGCCGCCGAACGAGGCGGCACCGGCCCCTTTTTGGGGAGGGCCCAATCGATGGATTTGGCGACCGCGCGCCAAATCCATGGCTCGCTAATCCATGCTTGCGCGCCCCCGAGTCTGGGGGCGCGTTCCGCCGCCAGCAAGCGCACCCGGGAACCAGGGTGAAGTCGGGCCTGTCCCTCTACAGGAGGAAAATTCAAAAATGGTCAAAAAATTGTTTGGGGACGATCTTTTGCAGACTGTTCATCCATGCGGGGGTATTTTTTGACTATTTTTAGTTTTTCGCCCGAAATCCCCCTGCATGGGGACAGGCCCGACTTAAAGCACGGGTGCTCCAGGCCGGGGCGGTGCCGTGCCCGGCGGGGGGGGGGGGAGCGAAGAACGGAGGCGGGGGCTCTCGGCCCACGGCCGCAGTTGATCGGAGTCTCCGCTTGTACCAGGAGGGGAAAAAACACACACAGGCACAAACGATCGTCGATGCCCAGGAAAATATGGGAAAGTATGGGAAGTGGGGGGGAAGACAAACAGCCAGAACATATTGGAATAAATCAAGGGGATCCTGTTATGTGTGTCTATTTATTTCTGTGTCCCAGGGCCCCTTCAATAAACGCGGCCCCGGGGCCGTCCACGGACGGCTCACTGACGGAAACCAGGCCTTGAGAAAACCTCGGGGGCAACGATAGGGCGGGATGCACATTGTTCATTTCTGATTATTCGAAGGCTCCTTGATTTCGGGGGGCAAGATCCGTTCATTCTAATTGTTCCATCCTGGGCCTCTTCCTGGCCACTAGGAGGCCAGGAACAATTAGAAACGAGCACCATTAGAAATGAGCACGATTAGAAATTAACGACGTGTAAGCGTAGGGGGAGACGCATCGACCCCCCATCGCCCACTGATCGCCGACGGGGCGTCGAGGGCCCCACCGCCCAGGAGCGTGCAGATTCGCCATCGAGGGCTTATCGCCGATCTGTCGGCGATGTGTCGCCGATTCCAGGTCGATGTTTCCCCCCTTCTGCTGGCCCCCCTTCTCGCTTCCCCTCAGAGCCCCGGGTCCAGGGCCCGTCCCGAGCTCTCGAGCCTCGGGGATCCCGATCCGTTTCCCGCGTCCCGAAATCAGACTTGTGTTGTCGTCGCGGGCCGCTGTTCGAGGCGCCCGGGGCCCGAAAGTTGCTTCCAGATGCCGCGAATCTCAGAAGCCTTGGCGAGGGCCATCGAGGAGCACCCTTGATCATTTGACGAAGAAACCACGCACGAAGCCGAAAAAAGCACAGGGAATGGACGTCCGGGCGATGGCGAGAGGCAGGTCGCGCTCGATGTGTCCCAGCCCCCGGGGGCCCCGGCGTCGGTGAGCTTTGGCCTCGGGGGGCCGACCTTTGGGGGCCCGCGGGGCAAGAAGATGAGCCCGTCGGAGGTCTGGGCGGGGGCGGGGCGGGGGGGGGCTCGAGAGAGTCGGCGGTCGAGGGTCGAGGTTTTTGGATGCCTCGCGGCCTCTGTGGGCCTGTTTTTTCCCTCGTGCCAGAAGGCGCGTGGTGGGACAGGATGGCCGGCGGCAGCAGCTCCTCGAGTTCCGGAAGGACTGCACAGCCCTGAGATGGGGGGCACGGGGAGGTGCGGCGCTGAAAAAACGGTTGTTCTGTCTTGGTATCTCTTGCTCTCTCTCTCTCTCTCTCTCTCTCTCACCCGCTTTCTGTTGTTCTCTTTCCATCACTCCCGCCCTCCTTCCTCCTCGTCTTCCTCCTCCTCTTCCTGTGTGTTTGTTTCGGGCAGTCTCAGGTTCGCGAGCTGAGCAAACCCTGTGATCCCAGTGTTACAAGCAAGAGGCGCAAGGAATGCCTTGACAGGGGTCGGCGGGGCTTGAGGCCGAAGGAGCTGGCTGTCAGATCTGAAGCGGTTTGATCTGACTTCGTCAAAGGTTTCATTCCAGTCCCAATTCCTCCTCCTCGTCCTCCTCCTCCTCCTCCTCCTCCTCCTCCTCCTCCTCCTCCCTCCTCCTCCCTCCTCTGGGATCGACGCGATGCCTTTCGTCCTATTCCTGCTCTTCCCACCCCTGAGGAGTCGGGACGAGGCGCAGTTTTCCTGGGATAGTGGCGTTTCATCCTTCCCTACCCTCATCCTCCATCCTCCCTCATCTGGCTGCTCGCTGCTGGAACGCAGGGGGCTGCTCGATGCTGCTCGACGCAGGTGTCTGCTCGATGCTGTAACGCAGGGGGCTGCTCTATGCTGCTCGATGCGCGATGCTGGAACGCAAGGGGCCTTCCCTACCCTCATCCTCCCTCCTCCCTCATCTGCCTGCTCGATGCGTGATCCTTCGGCAGCCGGTTCCACCCGAGGGAAGAGCGCGAGGATCTCCCGCGCCGTCTCAGCCTCGGGCGCATCGTCCCTTGACCAGGTGGCAGCGTACTGAGTTCTTTCATGCCACCCGTAGGGTGTGCTACGGACGAGCAGTCGTCACCGTCGTCTTCGTCGTCGTCAATGTCGTCGTCGTCGTCGTTGAGAGACCTCCTCCCGAGAAGCTGGGCCAACGTTTCTTGACGACATTGTTGGGCAGCTGGCCCAGATTCTTAAGCACGTGCGTCTATCCAGCGCAAACAGAAAAGTTGGCCCAGGCTGTGCGAAGAGAGGCTGGAAAACTGGCCTGGGTGTCTCAAAGAATGATGTATTTGATCATATGTTCGACTGTATGTCCAAACAATCAAGCGAGCGACGGAGAAAAACTGATTCGATTGCGCGGACATTCGCGCGTAAGTTGCCCGCGTAAGGTCGCGCGTGCGCGTCTTTGTTTCCAATGTAGCGTGCCGCGTTCGCGGCCCGCGTAAGCCACAGCGCAACGTGGCTTCTCTTCGTGGCTCAAGTAGGTCGCCGCACCCCCCATGTGACACAGCGGTGTCTGGCAGGTGTTTCCGCGCCAGGTGTGGCACAAGCCACGGCCACGCGTTTTTCGCATCACCGCGGGAGGCCACACCGCTATGCTGCCACGAATCTTATGCGTTGGGATGCGCTTGCCCCTGTCGTCACTGGAGCAGCTATCCGAGGGCGCCTTGCTTATGCTGTGGCCATGCTTACCACTTGCTTGCTGCTTAGCTCAAGATGAACAGGGGCAGCGAGAGGCGTGCTGTCCGTGTTCTGAAGTCTCCGAACTGGCCACCATTGGTCCAGCGGCTACAAAAGGGGGCCCCTTTGGCGTACGAGCGTTCGGAGGGAGGCACTCGGGTTTCGCAATGATGTCCTTCCTTCTCATCCTCACCGCCCCCTCCTAATCCTCATCATTTTACCTTTCTCCTCAATCTCCTCCTCTTTCTCCTCATCCACCTCCTCTGGCACTGTTCGTAGTCATCATGTTCCTCCTCCCCCCCCCGCTCGAGCACGTAGTGCTGGTAGATTGCACCATGGGACAAAAGTGCAATGCCGAGTCCGATGTGATCTGATCCTCCCCATCCTCCATACCATTACCATCTCCCCTTCCCCAATACCCCCATATCCTCCCTTAGACTCCTCTTGTTCCTCCGCATCATCCCCTCATCACTCTCATCTGCCTTCTGTCCCTCAGTATCATGTCTCGTTTCGTCCTCGGTGTTGTTTTAACTGTATCTCTCCCTCGTTGTCCTCTTCGTTGTGTCAGAATCCGTAGCATCATCTTAATGCGTTTAATCATTTATCCCGCGCGCCAGGGAACATTAGAAAAGCATCCAGAAGCATTGGTATGTTGTTGGACTGTGTTCGGTAGCTTGCAAGAACTACCTTCCCATGTTTCTGATCCTCCCTCCCTCCCTCGCTCCTCCGTCTCCTTATCCAAGGAATGATTTCTGATACTGCTCGTGCATCTCATCCTCATCCTCATTAGCATCCTCTCTATTCCTCCTCCTCCGCCTCCTCCTCCTCCTCCTCCTCCTCCTCCTCCTCCTCCTCTCCCTTCTCCTCCTCTTCCTCCTCCTCCTCCTGATGCTCCCCCTCCTCCTCCTCGTCCGCGTGCTCCTCCCCCTCCTCCTCCTCTTCCTCCTCCTCCTCCTGCTCCTGCTCCTGCTCCTTCTCCTCCCCTTCCTTACCCTGGCCCCTCCATCGTCATCGTTACGAATCGTTTCCTCCTCCCTCCGTATCCTGATCATCTTCACCGTTTCGATATTCTGCACACGTGCACAGCGCAGCGCAACTCAGCAAGCACTTCACGAAGTGCATCTATCATCCGTCAAAGAGTGATTACTCGATAGAGCTCTTGTGCTCCAGCGAACTGAATCTGGATGCCAGTCTTTTGTCCGCCGTCGCCGCCGTTTGGGCAGATGGGTGTTCCCCATACTTCGCGCCCCCCACTGAAGGCAGATCAAAATGCTTGCCTCCAGCACAACAAAGCCTTCAGAAAGAAAATCTGCAGTAAAGCATGCTGGCCCTAAGTTCAAAAATCCTTCAGCGACCAATATTTGGCAAGAGCGCGCACAGTTGGAAATCCATCCAAAGCCTGCACGAGTGTTAAACAACGCGTGTCAGAAGCAGCGTGCTGTTATTACATATGTCTGTTTGCGCCCGCACTCACTGGAATCATCTTGAAACGCAATGCCTCTCAATATTATTAAAACTGCCACTGCGGGCCGCACAAGCGCACATGCCGAAGTCACTCGCCAAGCATTGCACACCCGCCAGCTCTGCCAAACAAAACCATGCGGGCCATACGCTCGCGTAACCGTGCGCGCGCACGTCGAAGACCCTGCAAAACCGATGCATCTGCCGGAGCAGTCCAACAAAGAGAGGTTCAAGCAGATCAGCAAAAGCAATGGTTGTTCCATCAGACGAGTATCAGCAGGTGTAGAGTTATGTGCGCGCGCACTTCCTCATCATCTGCACTAGCACACTATTACATCATGATCGGCGGCGTCGTCATTGCCACTGTCATCACAGTCATCTTCATTACCATCACCATCGTCGCCATCATCATATCCATCGCCGTAGTCAAGATCGTCGTCGTCCTTGTCGTCGCCCTCAGCACCATCGTTATCATCATCGCCAGCGTCATCATTGCCACCGTCATCGCCATCACCTGCATCAACTTCATTGTCGTCGTCCTCCCACCGTCGCCATCATCATCATCATCATCATCATCATCATCATCATCATCATCATCATCAGCAGCTTCATCATCATTATCATCCTCATCCTCATCCTCATCGTCGTCGTCGTTGCCGTCGCCCTCGGCGTCACCGCCACCATCATCAAAAGAGCACGCCCGCCCAGGTTATGGATCAGCACGGGAAAGTTTATCGCGTCATTACGCCAGTTGCATTTTACCAACAAGTTGCGGATGGGAGTTTGCATGAATAATGGAGGTGACACCGTGCATTGGAGTATGTTCTTTGTTGACGGCCTCGGAGCCCGGCAAGGTCTTCCAGATGCCAAAAATTGCGAAGGAGTTCCCGTCGCGATTTCTTCACGACGTGAGGGAGTCTGGGTTCTGGGTTCCTGAATGGATCTTTGGACTTGTTCAGTGGTGCGTTTTGACCGGAATTTGGAGGCGAGTCTGGCCGTGGCAACGAGGGCAGGGCGTTCGAGGAACCAGGAAGGGCGAGACAAAGCGCCCTAAGACCTCGAATTCCGATCCTCTTTTTCCAATCCCCAGGTCCCCAGCATTAAGTCCGAGTATATGGGTCGCATCGCCGATACATCGGCGATGCGTCTCCATATGGAGCCTGATTTTCTCCACGCCGGGGGTACCGACACATCGCCGACTTCGCCAAAGAGTCTACGATGCGCTGGCGATGCGGAACGATCCTCCCACCCCATCTACGCCGACCCCATCTGCGAGACCTCTACACAAACGTCATCCTGCCCCCCTCCATCCTCCTGCTCCTTCTCCGTGGGGGAGGCGCAGGAGCACAGGGAAGGGCGCCAAGCGAGAGGGGGACAAGGACAAGAAGCAGTACAGGGGAAGGTGGGAGAGCGAGAAGTGAGAGGAAGACGAGAAGCGAGAGGAGGACGGGGAGGAGGAAGCCGCGACAATCCCAGACCCCCGACGTCATGATTTTTGTCATCACGTCGACCCCCAGCGGTCTCGACTCATTCCCCGGGACCGGCTTCTCATCCCGAATCGTTTTTGGACGGCCCCGAGGCCCGGCGAGGGCCCCGCAGGGCCGAAAATAGGGAAAAGCCTGCGCGCTTTGTTCATAACCCGATGGGGCCTGGGATCGCTCCTCCTCCTCCTCCTCCTCCTCCTCCTCCTCCTCCTCCTCCTCCTCCTCCTCCTCCTCCTCCTCCTCCTCCTCCTCCTCCTCCTCCTCCCTCCTCCTCCCTCCTCCTCCCCCCTCGCCCGCCCGCGCCCTGCGATGCCCGAGGCTGTTCCTCAGCGAGAGCACCGCGGCGAGGCTTGGGGAGCACGCGGCGGCCGGGAGGGCCCTGCTGGCCGTGGGGACGACCGCCACCAGGCCCCGCCGATCGGGCCGGCCTCGCGCGCGCGACAGTCGAGGCCTCGACGGCTTCCGAGCGGCAAGAGTCAACAAATAATTACAATACAACAACAAGAACAACAAGAACAACAACAACAACAACAACAACAACAACAACAACAACAACAACAAACAACAACGACGACAACGAAAACGACAACGACAACGACAACGACAACGACAACGACAACGACAACAACAAGCAACAACAACAACGACAACGACAACAACAACGACAACGACAACAACAACGACAACCACCACCACAACCACAACCACAACCACAATCACAACGACAACGACGACGACGACGACAACGACAACGACGACCACACCAACAATCATTTTCAGACTGTTCGCTCTTACTGGCACGCGTGTCTTGCATTCTGTATACCCGGTTCCCGTCCACTTCGGCTTCGATTGCACCCCCTTTCGGGGGGAATATTTTCTTTGTCGGCCACTGGCTGAAGTGCGAGGAAGTCTCGAGCGAGAGCGCCGTTCCTGAGTTCGGGGGCTTCTCTAGCCAGGGGCTCTCGGAATACCTATGGAGAAATATCGAACGGGAACCCTTGTCGCCGTGTCTGGGCCTCCACCAACTTGCTTGAATTACGAGAAGGTCTCGAGTGAGAGCGCCGTTCCTGAGTTCGGGGGCCTTCCTGGCCAGGGGCTCTCGAAGTAAATTGTGAGGAAGTGTCGAGCAGGAGCCCTTGTCGTCGTGGCTGGGCCTCCGCCAACTTGACTGAGTTGCGAAAAGTCTCGAGCGCGGGTGTCTCGGGGTAAACTGTGTGGACCTACCGAGCGGGAACCGTTGTCGTCGTAGCTGGGCCTCCAAGGGCCCACATCTAGACTCAAACCAACGCTTGCGCGGGAGCCTCGTTCTCAAAGGAAATGTGGCCGGCGTCGAGGCGAGAGCGCGCGGAACCGCTTCCGGAGATCAACAACCATTTTTGATAAAGGAGTATTCAACAACGACGACGACAACAATGATTTTAAGAATGTTCGCTCTTATCTGCTCGCATGCCATTCAGCACGTATATCCCAAACCCTCGAGACCCGCCCTCTTCGTCTTCGATTGTACCCCCTTGAAGGCGCGTGTATTCCGTGCAGCCCCTGAGGCACGGGAAGATAAACGGATGGAAGGAGGGGACAAGGGGCAGGCGGGTTGCTGAAGCGTGCGTCCTGCATGAATCGCGAGGAGGTCTCGAGCGATAGCGCGATTCCCATCGTTAGGAAATCCACAACCAGAGCGTGATTCCTGAGAGTAGAGGGCGCGGCGTTTGAATATCAGAGAGCGTTGTCTCCAAATAGATTACGCGACTCAAAAAAAAAGAACCAGAGGAATCAAGCATGCTTGGAATCCGCAATTCAGCAAGCAAGCAAGCAACCAAGCAAGCAAGCGTGCAAGCAAGCAAGCAAGCAAGCAAGTAAGCAGGTATAGGCATAGGCGTAGGCATTGGAGGTAAGGGGGAGGCATAGGCATAGGCATAGCCATAGGAATTGGGGGGCATAGGAATTAGGGGTAGCAACGGACCAAGTAGTAGGGTTTGAGCTAGGACTCCGATATCGAAAGCCTACTTGGATAATACATTGTGGCGAGGTTCCACGCGAGAGCGCGATTACTTTATACATTGTGAGAAAGTCCCGCGCGAGAGGGCGATTTTGCAATAAATTGTAAGGAAATATCAGGCGGGTGCCGTGTGTGTTGTAAACCGGGGGCCAGGGGCACAGCTGGGTAACACTTCGTTTTCCTTTGTGAGGAGAAAAAAAGGTGCGAGCCCCGCGAGAAGCATTTTAATGTAAAAATGTAGTGGTTATCAGAGGGGGGATCAACCCTATGTCTAGCTTAGTTCTGAGAACCCAGCAATAGTATTAAGAGCGTTCGCTCTTACACGCTCGCGTACCATTCAAAACGAATCCCCCCAACCCTCGGTACCCGCCCTCTTCGTCTTCGATCTGACACCCCTGGGGGCATACCTTCCATACCTGCCGCGTCTGACTGGCGCAGGACCTGAAACAGGGGAATAGAGAACGGATGGAAGGGGGAGGAAAAAGGATGGAGCACGGGATTAGCAGGATGGGGGTTAACAGCAGAAAACACGTGGCAGAACCAGACGGGCCCATCGGACGGATAGAATCGACCCTAACGGGCGGGTCGGGAAGGCGGGCCCAAGCGGCCAGGTCGAGAAGGCTTGCTGTTGAAGCGCGAGTATTGCATGAGTCGCGAGGAGAGCTCGAGCGATAACGCGATTCCTACGTAAATCGTGAGAAAGGCCAAAGCGAGCGCGCGATCCCTGAGTATCGAGGCCGCGGCGCCTGAATACATTGCAAGGAAGTCCCACGCGAAAGCGCGATTCATGCACAACTTGTGGGGACTTGCGCGCGAGAGGGCAATGTTGAAATAATCTGTGAGGAAGAATCTAGCGGGAGCCGTTATTGTTGTAGTTCGGGGCCCAACAACGGAGTTTGGTGACACCCAGCTTTCCTTGATAAAGAATAGGGTGCGAGCCCCGCCCGACCTGGGCATTCCAGTTGAAAATGCAACGTGTATCGGAGGGGAGAGGTCAACAATAATTATTAGTTAGAAGTGAGAGTTCATCATCAACAACAACAACAGCCACAACCACAACAACAGCAGCAGCACCAACAATAACGACAAAGACAGAGACAACAACAACAACAATCATTTAAGACTGGGGACACTCCGTTCTCACCAGTGCCAGGGTTTTCATAGGAGGCGGGCAATACCCCCACTTTGTGGGGGGGCCGGTTCAAGCTCTACCAAATTTCCATACGACTCTTCGCCACCACCCACACCCAGCTTCCCGCCCTATGACGTTCGGACACTTCACTTCGTGGCATGCGGACGACCGTGGCTACTATTCAGGGCCCCGCGGCCGACGACGACGGCGTGCGCGCGCGAAGAAAAAACGAATGTGTCCAATATGGTATTATTTGACAGGGATGATGGCCCTGGCATGCGCGCAACCGTTGTTGCAGAAGTTCGAAGCACGTGAAAAAGTTGCTCGCAAGAGCCCGTTTGACAAAATGTTGAAAAAATATTGGGTTTCCTCAGAAATCCGCAAGAGCGCGCAAGATGATTTGTTGAAACTTTTTTTTTGAAAAACCATTGGGTTTTTCATGTTTGTATGTTAAAATCGCTACGAAAACTAAGGTTTTGGAAGGATTTCATCTTGCGCGCGCGAGTGTGCACTTCGTGTCATTTTTTGCAAAGGATTCTTGAAGTTTGGTTATGTTAGAACAAGACATGTCATTTTATAGTGTTTTTTGACAGGGAAAGCGGGCGTCAACAAAACAACCGGATCTGGATGACATCGTTTTACCTGAGACTTCCTCACGAAAATTATGAAAATGTGGCTGCGGCCTAGGCGCGGGGGGGGGGGCGTGCACCAGGGGGCCCAACAATAATTATTCTTTAGAATTAATAATGTTCAACAATAACAACAACAGCAGCAGCAACAACGACAACAACAACGACAACAGCAAAAACAAACGCAATGACAACAACAACAACAACAAAAACAAACACAGCCAACAGCCAACAGCCAACAAAAAAGAAGGGCGGTGTGTGTCCCAGGCTCTCTCTAGCTCTCGGAGGCTATCGGAGGTTTCCAAGGCTCGGGTCGGCTTTCATCAGCTGCGCCTAGTCGAGGGCTCTCCGGGGAGGCACGCGTCGCTCCGAGCGGCCGCTTGGAGCCCGAAGTAGGGTCGGAAAGCCGAAGAGGGCCCAGACCTCCAGCGCACTCAGCAAAAGCAGTGCGGAGGCTCCTCGCCGTTTTTTCAGCCGCTGGGTGCCCTTGCAACGACAAATGGGCCGTAGCAAGATCACCCAGGATGAAACATCGGCCATTGGGGTCGGGACTTCTGGGGGCCCCGCACCGGAGCGAACAAGGCGTCGGGTCCATGGGAATGGCGAGGAGGGTTTCCATCGGGCGGTTTCCGGGTTCTTTTGGGCTCTTGGCGGAGGGGTTTCGCAGGTGTCCAGAGAGGGGTCGGGATTAAAGACCGCACGAATGTGGGACATACAAGATGCACGTTTGTTCGTCTTCATGCGTGTCGTTGTTTCCATGGTATGCTCCGCCGCCACAAGGATTGCTTTCTAATGTGATGTCAAAGTCCCCACGGTCATCATAATATTCGTCCTATTCGTCATCAGTGTCATCATCCGCCGCCTTATCATCATTCGTTCACGTTTTCCTATAATGCGCATCTTCTCCCCATGGATCCATGCCCTTCTCGCCCAGCGGTCGAGAAGATCAACGAGACCAGGACAGCCCACCAGTAGCACGTCACCCGCTGTGCGACGCTGGCGGCGGTGCAGTGCCAGGCCCAGGAGCTACCAGTCGATCGGCTTGCAAGCTGTGGTCCAAACGCAGCTGCTAGTCCAGAGGGCGCCCCTGCAGGAGGACGCGAACCACCAGCGCGAGCGGCCGCTGACGGACAAGCCGGACCTGCCGCGCCAGGTGGACAAATGTTCGGGACCGCGCGCGTGAGGCCACCGCTTCACGCAAGAAGAATGTGGACCCCCTCTGCCCCCGCGCCTGCCTAGAGGCTCAGGCCACGTGCCCGAGTCGCAGGCGAATGCGCAAGTAGGGAGGCCAAGATGTCACTTCCCACACAGCTTTGGTCCCAGTACCCAGCTGGGCCCAGGAGTAAGTTTGAAGGGGTCGGGGCCTGCATTGGCTTACTCTGGTGCTGGTTCCTCGGGGAGCACCCGTACAGAATGTCGATCGGCCGCCTTGGGACATTCCGGTATTGATTTTCCTCGTCCAAACTGTAGACAAGCACCACATTCATTCGTAGCAGAGACTGTTAATACCACCTGCTGGGTTTCTTTCCAGCTTTGTCTCCCGCAGCCTTATGCTACTGCCATCCTCCTCCAAGAGCATCGCTTCCACTGGCAGGACGCATTGGGCTCTGCGAAGGATTGGTCACGCAAGCAGGGCTGGCATGCGCTCTTC